AGTCACTGCATCGAAAATGTTTGCTGTCCCAGTGCTTCTCTACTCCTTTGGCGTCCTCAAATGGAGTAGAGATGAGCTGAAACAGCTGGACAGGGATACCCGTAAGCTGATGAACATCTACAGAAGTCTGCATCCCCGATCTTCAAGTCCGCAATTGTATTTTCCGCGCGAGAATGGGAGGCGAGGCCTTCTCAGTTTAGAGGCTCTTCATGATCGTCTAGTTCTCGGTTTAGATTGTGACATTATGAATGGCTTGGATCCGCACTTGGAATTCGTATCTGATCATAAGCTCCACGGAATCCAGGCCTTTCTGTATAAGGCAGCAGATACCGCAGCGGCTTCCCTCGGTTTAGAGTTTCGTCGTGGCCGAGATGGTCAGTTGGCTGGTGACTCATTAGCCAGCATGATCAAAGCTCGGCTTAGAGCGACCATGAAGCAGGCGGAGCAGTCCACCTTGTTCCGCCAGCACATCGATAGGCCCATGCATGGCGCATTTTTCCGTCGTATGGAAGATCAGGGCCTGTCTTTTCAGCTGACATTTTCTTTCTTAAAGTCCGCTGGCTTGATGTCCGAGACTGAGGGTTTCATCTGCGCATGTCAGGATGGTGTAATAAATACCCTGGTCTATCGAAGCTGTGTTATGGGCTTGCAAGATCCTGACACCCAGTGTCGGGCTTGCAAACAGTCCCCCGAAACTCTGATGCATCTCCTGTCGGCCTGCCCGAGATATGCTATCACGAGTTATATTCATCGTCATAATGCGGCCCTAAGAGTGCTTTATTGCCATCTGCGGCACTTCTATGAAATAGACAGAACGCCACTGCTGCCATATGCTCCAGGAGATATTGAGTTCGTTGTCGTGAATGAGGTGTAAGATTTACTGGAACTTCTCCTTCGCGACAGTCAGGCCAATCGTTGCAACAAAACCTGACGTCATTCTCTACGATTTTGATGACAAAATCATCTATGTCATCGAGTTTTCGGCTCCCGCTGAGAGCAATATCACGGTGAAGGAAGAGGAGAAACGGCTTAAGTACCAGCCGCGTCTGTTTGAGCTACGTCAAGCGAATCGGGGATTTAAAGTGAAGTTGGTTGTTCTCATCATTGGTTCTTTAGGGGGAATGAAAGTCATTTATATCTGAGCTCAAAACCATCCCGGCCTGTAGCCGTCAAGCCTTTATGTTGGGTAGCCAAATGCAAAAGGCCGTCATCCTTGGATCTCTTCGTACTTAGACAGTACTTAGACAGCACGATTCTGAAATGCAATAGAGCTCCTAGATCCTCCGGTTGGAGGAAGCGCTATTGCAAAGCGATTAGGAAAAGTTTGTATCGCTTAGCTTGCTGGGCGGTCTTCGTGGTGAAGTCGGAACCCTCGAGGATCGCTCAGCGATCCCATTTACATGGAACATAAGTAATAATAATAGTAATAATAAATTTTTTATAATAATAATAATAATAATCATCCTTTACAATTAAGAAAATTATGTATCCTAGACAATAAGAATAATTTCTGAATAAATAATTTATTTAATCCTATAAATTGTGCGTTACGTAGTTATTTCTTATTACCACCACCCACTTCCTGGGACCGTCGGAAACCAACTTTAAGGCTCTGCACCCCAGGGGGCCCCCAGCACGCCGATGTTCTCTTCAAAAGGCTTGCCGCCGAGGGGGGAAGGGGGGACGTGCACTTCCTGAAAAAAGGGGAAGGGAGCGTGGGAAATTCGCCAATCTCAGCCACTTTCCACTAGTAATAGATTGGAAAATATTATTTTTATCAGTCGCATTGCTTTTTGCAATGAGAATGATTACGAAAAATTAATTGAAAAATGAAATATTAAATCTGACAGGAAAAAGGACATAAAGAAAGGGGCATCAACACCCCGGCCGCAAGCGACCGGAGTGGCGCTAGTTGAAGAAATAACAGAAATCTCCTAAAAAAACATAGACAAATGTTTTTGTAAAAAAGTTGTGCTAAATAATGTTGTGTGGTTGTTTCTGGAAAAAAGGAACACTATTTTTTTTGAGACCCATGGTTCCGATCGAAGTTTTGGAAAAAAAAATGATAATCAAAGCCAATTCAAGGACGTCCAGTGACGCCTCTAAATGAAAGAATTATAAAAAAATCCTTCATCAAATAAAAAAATTAGTCGAGGCTGAATCGAAGTTTTTGGCGCGGAGTTGACCTAACTCAGTGCCTCATCTGAATCGCTATCTTCTGATCCGCGCCAAGAACGTCGATCCTGTCTCTACTGATTGTTTCATTTCATGGAGGAGTTTTTTAAAGCTAATGTAACGAATTGAGCTATCGAGGTTAAAGCACTAGTTCGGAAAACTGAAGCCGTACGATCGTACCCTACTTGAATTCTAATCCTTGTGCCTCCGAATTTTTCAATTTGTTCATTGATAATTATTTGTTCCTCTCGTGAAGAGGTGCGGGAAGTCGAAGGATAGCATGTAGCATCCTGCTTTCCATGTAATTTATACCTTAAAAACATCTAAGGTTTGACAGAGTAGATAGCCCGAGGATGATAGCAAATGTAAATATATCGGTTGAAATACCGGTTCTTTCAGTTAGAGTTATCATGGAACATTTTTTGACTTGCTTTTGATTTCTATTTCGTCATTTTTCTTCAAAATTTCTGTGGAAATCTCATTTCTGAAAGAATTGTGTTTATTCGTTCCAGAAACTATCGCACAAAACTTTTTCCTAACGCAGTTATTCTGCAAAAACCTTAGTTTTTGTTTTTTTGGAAGTTGATATTACATACTTCCCAAAAACGGGAACGTGAAAATCACTATGGAAGTATCTCATCATGGGCTGTTGCGATGGAGTGTTTTACTGGTGTGATTATCCAACGCTCACCTTCGGTTCGGACGCCAATTCAGCATGAGTATAGATTGCGATTTTCAAGCCCAGTACTATAAAATATTGCGAACCTAAGAGGCCGTCCACAAATTACGTAAGGCCTTTTTTTTCATATTTTACTCTCACCCTCTCTCCTTATGTAAGACAATGAAAGTATATGAACACCGTTCCTCTATTAAGTAACGTTTTGTTTCTAAAATGCGGGTGAAATTACATCGCGATACATTGGACCGTTTGTTATCAACCTGGAATTATAATATATATGTTTATGAACGAAAATATTAATAATTATAGTGGATTACAACCGTTCAACTTTGCTCCACTCTATCCTATGAAAACTCCTATTTCGATAACAATGGGAGGATAAGTAGTACGATTACAAGAGAGGCATTCCATGCTATTTCAATAATAAATAAGCGATTTTTTTTAGATTTCGATTTAAATTGAGTACTTTGTAGAAGAACCCCTAAAATATTCCTAAACGGGAGGAAAAAAAAATTTTTTTTTCACAAGTTATTCAAAAAACAAAATTTGGTGTATTACCAGGGAGGGAATTGTTTATAGCGTCATAACTCGATAAACATCTGTTATATCGAAAACATGAAAGAATACTTTTTTACTGCAAAAGAGTGATATATTCATATAAAAAAAAATACAAAAAAATTCAATTTACTGTCCATTTGTTAATAAATAAAATAAAAAGTTGTTGTAAAAAAAAAACTCATCTCGAAAAAATTCCGAAAAAAATATATTTTATAGAATGCGTATCATGAAATCCGCTGTCCAATTTTTATGAGGTAATCTCATATAGAGTCTGAGATAATAATTATTTAGTGAGGCTGCGTCGGGCAGCGTAGAGCGGTGACCACCCTGCGCTCAGCGAGTCGCGGTGGCAGATGGTCGAGTTGGCGGTGTTCAGTGGATGCTATGAGTTATCTGGGAAGTAAATATGTGATTTATTGAATTAGTGCGCTTAACTTTTCTTTACAATATCTCGAATTACAAATTCGTCGTCTAAAGAATGAATTTTACATTTAAGACTATGAGTATCTTTAATCGGTATATAGCAATGAAATTGACGAGTTCCAACGATGGATGAAGCATTCTCAAATCGAATTTTCAACGCCTCTTCTTCTAATGCACGTTCTTCCTCAGTACAAAAGATAGTTTGAATGGAAGTCATCGATTCTTTCGCGAATTCGTACAATTCGCGTGGAGTTGTGATTTGATTATCAAACGGCCTTTGGATACTTNCTATATGAGATTACCCCATGAGAATTGGACAGCGGATGTCATGATAAGCATTCTATAGAATATATTTTTTTCGGCATTTTTTCGAGATGAGTTTTTTTTACAACATTTTTTTTTTATTTATCAACAAATCGACAGTAAATTTAATTTTTTTGTAAAATATATTTTTTTATATGAATATATCACTCTTTTGCAGTAAAAAAGTACTTTTTCATTTTTCCGATATAACAGATATTTATCGAGTTATGATGCTGTAAACAATTACTTACCTGATGGTACACCAGATTTTGTTTATTGAATAACTAACGAAAANGTACTTTTTCATTTTTCCGATATAACAGATATTTATCGAGTTATGATGCTGTAAACAATTACTTACCTGATGGTACACAAGATTTTGTTTATTGAATAACTAACGAAAAAAAAATTTTTTTTTTTTCCTCGCGTTTACCGACTTTTCTAAACCTCCTCTACAACATATTCGAAACCCAGGAAAAAACAATTTTTGGCCTATTGAAATAGCGTGGAATGCCTCTTGAGTCAAACGAGTGGGATGAGCGGAGATTTTACAAGCGTTAAATGCAAGATTGAAGTCATCATAATAGCCTAACGATAGATTCAAGTGGGATGTTGACTAGGCTGAAATAGAGCAGACCAGTGGAAGGTCATAAGGGTATACATATGATGCATATCGGAAGATATGCATGTGAGAAATATCGGAATATCACATGAGACAAACAGGTGCGACGAGAGGAATGATCAGGAGGGTCAAACGGCTGGGAGGATCACGAGGGAATTTTGAACCTCACGACGTCTCCAATCGTCCCTCCTGAATGATCCCTGTGATCATCCAACTTATCTCTGCCGTTTCACCCTACTATTTGCTCCAATCGTTGCTTTTATTTTGAAATAAATACATATCTTCGATAACACTCCTGGAATTCACATCATCACATAAGACTAAAGGTGACCCCCTCCCCCCCATTGGAGGTGGCGGAAGATCGATCGTATCCGTCGCATGCCACAAAAACCACATAATTTATGAACGGCCCGTAATAATATAATGTACTATTCTGGCGTATATGATTGCAACAAACTGATACTAGCCAGTAAAGTTTCTTTCGGTTGTTAAGTGTTCTAAGTGGAATGTGTAGTTGATTTTTCCTGCATGAAATTCCTTGTCATATAAAGATGCAATTGAAGATCCCTTCGATTAGTAATATTAACATAGTAATATTAACATTTCATCGCTCAAATTTTCATAATTCTTTTTCAATGGGTATCATTGGAATATGTAAATGAATTTTAATATATTATCCAATCTAATATCCAGCACGTTTTAACTCATTCAATTGGTGCGCCAACTTTTCCTCTTTAGTGCGCCTTGCCTGTCCCAATTTTCGACATTTGATGTACGTACACAAAAATCGTTCAACATCAATTTTTCCATTGAGGAAATCTTCGGCTATTCTTTCACTCTTTTCATGACTCTCATCGGCAGCACGTTTTAGGCACTCCTTTATATGATCTGGTGCAAATACTTCAGATAATTTATTATATCGTTGAATCAAATTATCGTATCGAGCTTTAAGGGCTGTCACTGATTGACCTTTCGATGTTACTTCTTTTTGAAGGGCTTTGAGCTCAGTCTCTTTGGTTAAATTTTCAGCTGTAATTAGAAAGATAAAAAATGATTAAAAAATTAAATCGAATCAAATTCTCCATTTACTATTATCAGAATTTTATTTTTTTCAATATTGCAGAAAGTAATCGCAACGTCCGTAAAGAAAGGGTCCAACCGAGTCAGTTTTGTAGAAATCATCTTGTCTGCAGTGAAATAAAAAATATATAATTCTGCCACTCAAATTTGTCTCAGACAAACAAACGCCCGTAATTACCATACAAAATCTCTCGATAAATTCTTGCCTGAAATATATTAAATTAGCATTTTGGATTTTCATCCTCTAGTAATAACTAAAGTATCCTACTCCCAAAATTTCTCATTAATTATGAATTAGCAACCAAGAATGTTTGACTATAAATTTTACTGAAGAAAAAAATGAATTCATTTTGAAGAAATTCACCATCACTTTTACGACGGCAGGAGAATCTGGCAGAATGAGACTGCGGGGCAAAATGCAACATGGAACAAAATGAGACTCCTTCAAATGTTGATTTTCCTCACATTTGGGTTGGCTGTATTGAGAATTTGAAATTTGTCGTTTCACGGTAATGCTAATGCTATCACTTCTGTGTAGAATGCGAGAGGTTATTCAAGAGGATAGCCCAAACTAGAGGCTTTGGTCTCGGGGTTTGAGCGACTCCAGAGTAGGGCAAGTACACGAAAAGAATACATTAGGTGAATGACTTAATTCCCGGCCACTAGATAGGTTGATTAGAACACCTATTTGAATTCATAAATTTGCCCGCAATAAAGGGCGTTTTGAAGCGCCATCAGTGAGGTATCAAACCACTCAAGTCCGATTGTGGTCCGATTAAAACAACCTCAAAAAACGTAGTAAATAAAAATGTCATTTGACACTTGAAGCACTCCCTTCTGTTCATCTTCCAACTTGGAAAAACTGCTGCAGAAGCACAAGAAATGATTTGTTCGGCCTTGGAAGAGAGTGCTGTATCTAATAGCATATGTAAAAAGTGGTTTAAAAAATTTCGGGATAGAAATTTTGATCTCCAGAGTGAAGAACGTCCTGGGCAAAAAAAGTTGAGGACGAGGAGTTGGAAAACCTACTCAATGAAAATCCCTGTCAAGCACAACAGGAGCTTGCTGATATTCTCGGAGTGGATCAAACAGCTATTTTAAGGCGTTTAAAAATAATTAGGAGGATACAGCCGGAAGGTCGTTGGGTGCCCCATCATCTCGCCTCAGAAAACAAAAGTCGACGCTGTGAAATTGCCATGTGCCTACTGACCAGATTCAATCAAAAAGCCTTTTTATATAAAAGTGTGACTGGGGATGAAAAGTGGATATTTTACGACAATCCCAAGAGGCGAAAGTCGTGGGTTTATCCGGGGGAGCCGTCAACGAGTACTGCAAAACCGAATATTCACGGGAAAAAATTGTTGAGATACTCGAACAGGGTGAAACCGTCACTGCTAAGCGTTATCAGGACCAACTGGTGAAATTGAGTGATGCGATTGAGGGAGAGAGACCTTTTACTGGTAGTGGTACGAGGCAAGTAATTTACAGGAGAATGCGCGGCCACACGCAGCAAAAGAAACCGTGCAAGTTATCTCCACGTTGGGCTGGGAAATTCTCCCACATGCAGAGTATTCTCCAGACCTTACGCCTTCTGACTATCACCTTTTTCGAGCGCTACAACATCACCCAGTGGATTTCCAGTTCCAATCTCCTGAAGAAGTCTGGCAGAGCATTGATGATTTCATCCAGTCAGAACCTTTTTTTCCGAACCGGAATCCGATAATTGCCTGATAGATGGGAGAAATGCATGCAATGTGACAGCAATTATTTTCAAGATTAGATCTATATTAATTTTTTCTATAAATAAATGTCAAAATTGTCGAAAAAAGGCCGAGAATTGAGTCATACCCCTAATAAAATCATTTTTTACGATGGGAACATAGTAATTTTTAACTCTCCATTGGTTGTGCCATAAGCACCGCACCGCTATAAATTGACATAACGATAAATTAGAAAAATCACCCAAACAAAAAGTACTGATTGAATTCGATTTTTCGGTCTGATTCAGGTCGATTTTTCGGTCTGATTCAAGTCGATTATTCGGTCTGAGTCAGACCGATTTTTCCGTTTGATTCAAGCCGATTTTTCGATTTGATGCCCACGGAGAAAAAAAAGTGGATTAGCTTTAGAAAGAAGTTTTTAAATGTTAGAAACGGTGATTTCTAACCTTCAGGTTTCAAAAATCTATCAACTTTTTTATAAATTTTAGAAAAAAATCGATTCAAATTAATGATTAAAATTGGGATTAATTTTAAACTAAAATGTACTTAATTCTAGAAAGAATATTTTCTAAAATCTAGGAAATTTTGTCAATTTTTGAGGGGAAATTTTGCAAAAAGGGTGGTACTGATATCCGGTGGGGAGGGGCTTGTAAAGAGGGGGGTTTTACAGGAGTCTTTTATGGAAGGGTGGGTTATCGTTAAGGTTTTTCGAAAATATTTTCAAAACTAAAAAAGATAGCGAATTTTTACGAAAATTTTGGGAGAGTGAAGAGGGGGAGGTGTGTATCGAGAATTCACAACCAAAAAAATTGAGTCGGTGAGTTTTTCAAAAATATCTAACAGACTAAGGGAGATAGGGAATTTTTAATGAAAAAGTGGGGGGAGGGGGGAAGTTCTCTTTTTTTTCAATTTGTCCAAGTTGGAAAATTTCAGAAATTTCAAAAATGTCAGAAATTTTCAATAAAATTTAAAAATTTTGAAAAATTCGCTATTTTTGAAAAATTCGCTATCTTCCTTAGTTTCGGAGATATTCTTGAAAAATTCACCCACTCAATTTTTTTGGTTGTAAATTCTCAATTCACAACCCTCCCCCTGCCCCTCTTTGCAAAATCCCCTCTCCTCACATCTGAAATTGCCGATATTTGGGCACCCTTCCCTATGTATGGGGCACTTACGCCCTTTAAATACGTCGGAGGTAATTTTTTTTAGTTCAATCTGAAAATTTTCTAAAATTGATAAAAATTCAGCATTGGTTTCCTTAAATATTAGTTCTTGAAAACAATCCCCGAATTGTTTAATTTTTATGATCCCACCAAGGACAAAGTTTAAGAACAGGAGTTTCTAAAATCTAGACACTAGTTTCTAAAGCTAATCCACTTTTTTTCTCTGTGTGAATTTTTGTTAATTTTAGAAAATTTTCAGATTGAACTAAAGAATTGCGGCTGAGGTTAAAAATTGGAGGCTATATATCGAGAATTCAATAGAACCCACCCCACCACCACCCCTCCGCACCCCAATTTTTCAGTAAAACTTCGCCACCTCCCCTAGTTTTGGATCCTCTTTTAAAAAAAGAATGTAACGTTTTTTGTCAGTAATCTCTTCCGCCATGCCTATGCTTAGGAATATTTCCATCTTAAATTTGAATAACTTTTTATTCAATTTCTTTCAAATTATCTATATGAATTATCTATTATATAGATTATTGATATTTTTATTATTTTATATAAAAATTTTCTAATATTTTCATAAATATATATATATATACACAGGGTGTCCCGCAACTACTATTTTTCCTTGAAGGGTATTGAAGAGGGTCCTTTTTGAAGTGTAAAGTTCCTCCTCCATTTTTGGATCAGACCATTCTAAAATTTTTAATTTTTTAAAATAATTTTGGCCGACTTTTTTTTTATAGTCCGTTACTACTTATTTCAGGGCCGCCACAAAACTTTTTGGAAATAGTTAAATTTTTTTTTCTCCATTTTTGTTACTTTTTTGGCGTAGTTCTTTGTCCCACATTCCCCCTCGGCCCCTCGCGGCCCAATTCCTTTCAGGGAAAATAAATAAAGAGAATATTAAATTAAAATAGTAAAATTTTTTTTTTGGAGGGGGAGGGCAGTCCAAATACCATTCGCCAGGCCTGTCATTTACCAAACCAATTAATGTTAAACCCACTTCCCTTCTCTCCTCCGCGCATAATTACTCGAAAATTCTCAAACATTCTTGAAAAATCTTGGAAAAATTGTCATTTCGGACATTTACAATGATGGCAACCGAGATTTTTTTGGAATATAGCATCACCAGTGCCACTCCATGATTTGGTATGCTTTTGCAATTCCTCGGCGCATGCGTCTGATGTCAGTGACCTGAAAACAACTAAATCCCCATCAATTCCTCAAACGGAAAGGAAAAATCGATATTTTACAGATGCAAAATTACGTAATCGCAAATTACTCTGAGATAGATCATTCGCATCCCCAGCCCATGATTTGTTGTGATTTAGGAATTCCTTGGCGCATGCGCTTGGAGTCAATGGCACAGATAGCCCCAAATTTTCCAAAAACGATGGCAAAATGAATATTACTTGGACTAAAAATGACGCCACCGAAAAACACCCTAGAATATATCATCTACACAACCAACCCATAATTCGGTATAATTTCGGAAAACCTCGACGCATGCGCCTGATGTCAGTGGCCTTGTGAAACCAAAAAATTCCTCCAGGACAATGGAAAAACAGATATTCCAGGAGATCACATTAAGTCATCTCAAATTCGCGTGAGATACATCGTCCACACACCTAGCCAATGATTTTGTTTAATTTCGGCATTCCGCCACAACTTATTCACCCAATGGCGTCCATTTACGTGCAGTCAAATCAGAAATTCATCATTCAATTTCTGGGAAATCAAGAAAAAGGCGTGAATGACCGACATGAGAGCTTCCGGAATTCCTCTCGCGTTTTCCAGAGCTTCTTCATATCACTAGGGATGTGTGATTGCAGGGATTAAACTTGCCCAGACTTATTCACCCAATGGCATGAGTTCTCGTGCAGTCGAAACATAAATTCATCACAAGAATTCTAGAAAATGAAGGGAAACGCGTGAATGACCGACATGAAAGCGTCCGAAAGTCCTCTCGCGTTTCCCAGAGCTTCTCCATATCACTAGGGATGTGTGATTACAGGGATTAAACTTGGGCAGACTTATTCACCCAATTGCATAAGTTCTC